AATCGTGTCTTCGGAGCGGTCAGAGGAGGCGGGGGTGCCATGGAAAGAAAGGATGCCCTACCTGTTCCAACCGTCCTACAAACCCGGTCATCGACACTTCATAGTTTCATCTTACCAGTCGGCGGGTGGCCATGTTGGAGAAAGCCCTTAGCTAGAAAGCCCTGATTCTGCTCAGTTTTCATCACAGAGGCTGTGGAGCTGAGAAAAGTCAGGCAAGAGCCACACGGTCTCAGGGTTGGAATGGACCAGATCTCGGTGTATCTTCAAAGCAGTTCTTTCTGGCACCACGCGGTGTCTGCACAGGGGTCGACCAGTTGGCTGGAGGTGCTGAAGGGGTTTGTGGGGCTGGCTGCTTCCCTGAGCTATTGGGTGGTCCCAACTAGGTTATGAGCCGATTGATTAGATTATTGGGCAGCTGTAGTAAGATGGTTCTCTCTCACACGCACACACTCTCTCTGACACAACACTCTCTATATACACACACTCTCTCACACACACACACAATCACTCTTATACACACACCCTCTTTCTCACACAAACACACACATATAGATACATACTTTCACACATACTCTATCTCTACACACACCATCTCTCTCTCTCTCACACACACACACTCAAAAGTTTCATAAACTGCAGAACGCGATATCACGTCAGCGACTCCCAACAGCTACTAGAAACGGCCAGGTCCTTGCTGTTGTGGATTCCTCATAGGAAGTTGTGCTTCCTATGAACATTTTTGATTTTCCAGATATGCTAGTGTCTAGAGGGGCCTGTGGTAAATCTAACTCCTCTGTAAATCCTCTCAGGTCTACCCTCAAAATAAACACAGAGTCAACAAAATTGGTATTGTTTTTGTACAGTGTCTTTCCTGAAGACGTTACCGTCCACACACAGAAGCCCTTGCGTGGCCTGGGAGGGTCATGATAGTGATGGCACATTGAGTTTCCGGGAGGACCGTAAGCACACTGAGGAGAAAGTTTCTAGTCTCTTGGTCTGAAATGAGCGAAGTTGGGTAAATCTCTTCGCACACTGCCTCTCAGGGAGCCCTGTAATAACCGCAGCCTTCGCCATTACCATATGCTGAAGCATGGTTTCAGAAATGGGGGGAATAAAAAAGGACGTTTCGCCACTGTGCTTACTCTGTGGCGATAATAACAGCTATACGTTATTGAACACCCGTGGTCAGGTTCTCAACTCGGCACTTTTGTGTATGCTTCCATATGGTATTCAGTCTTTACAACAGCACGTCGCGGTAAGTATGACTTTCCTCAGAAGACGGCTGGGAATACTGAGGCTCGGGAAGGTTAAGTATCTGGACCAAAGTCACACGGCCGAGCCGTGGTAGAGCCTGGCCGAAACCAGGACTGATGTCAACGCTTTCCAAATCCTGTTATCCTTGCCAAGGAAAGGAAATCAAATAAAGTTGCTTTGATTTGAAAGGCAAAAGTTTCTACCTTAATATTTTAAAACAGTTCTTATATCAGGTAAACATAGTCAGCATCAAGGCCTAGGCCCAATGATAACATCCAGAACTTTAAGGCTGAAAGATGTATTAATTCCCCATAAAAACAGAAATACCTCCTCTGTCCCTTTTGATCATCACCAAATGGGCTGCTTTGATCCGGTCTCACTTAAGTGGTTGAAATGTGCCGATGTCAAGAACTTCCCAAAATGATAGTTGTTATTAACACTGCAAAATATTTTGTTGGTGAAAGAAAACAGGAAAATATAATAAAATAATAAAATCGGGGGGGCGCCTGGTGGCTCAGTTGGTTAAGCATCTGACTCTTAGGATTCAGCTCAGGTCATGATCTCATGATTTGTGGGTTCAAGCCCCATGTGGGGCTCTGCACTGACAGCTCAGAGCCTGCTTGGGATTCTCTCTCTTTCTCTCTCTCTCTCTCTCTCTCTCTCTCTCCCTCTCTGCCCCTCCCCTGCTCTCTTTCGCTCTCAAAAAAAAAAAAAAAAAAATCACTTCTGATTTGACCACCCGCCTCTAGCTACTGTTATTTTTTACTGTTTTACTTTTTTCATGGAGTCATAATCAGGCTATAGACTCAGCTTTCATTCCAGACCTTTTAAAAATTTGGTAACATATAATAAGCATTTCCCCAGCTATTAAATTATCTGTAGAAAACAAGTTTTAGTGGCTCTAAATCAAAGGTTGGCAGACTTTGTAATTGGAGGGGCAGTGAATATTTTAGGCTTTATGGACCATGTTGCCTCTGTCACAGCTATTCAACTCAGCTGTCGCAGTGTGAAGGAAGCCATAGCGGTGCGTACCCAAAGGAGAGTGGTTGTGTCCCAATAAAACTTTATTTATAAAAGCATGTGGTGGAGCCGCTTTGGCCCACGGGCTACAGTAACTGCTCTATACCATCATATTATGCACTGTATATACAGTCTGCCATATATACCACAATTCATCGAGCCCTTCTAGTGTGGGGCACTTAGATGGTTCGCGGTGTTCTAACACAGTAGGACAGTGATGGACATATAGACTCTTGAGCTCCCCTCTTTGGTCTACACATAGATCCTACATCACCGTCAAAGTTCATTGCCTTTTAGCAGTAGGTTACCAAAGGCCCACTTGCGTCTGGTGGGATAGAACCATTAATAGGAAATGCCCCTGAGAGTACTTTCCCCGCCAGACAGCCGTTGTGATTGACAGCATGGGGCCACCCACCTTCCTAGCCCCAGTGGCTGCTACCTTCTAGAACATGATCCCCTTCTCTGTTATAGAACAGATCATGTTTGAGAATCCCTTCACGTTGACACAAGGTATTTTGGGGATGAGTTCAAGGATACGTAATTTTTGTACGTAGTCCTAACCTACCAAGAAGGTAAGTTTAGTTCATCGGGGAGGATTTTCTCTCTTGTTTCCATCTCACAGGCTGTGAGTAGGGAGGTAACAGGAAACAGAGAGCATGAGAACATTCCTGTCAATAGGAGGAGGCTGAGGGAAGGGAGGCAGGGCCTCCCACGACCTGAAAGCTGGCAGTGGACAGACCCGGTGGACTGTTAAATGGCTCCTGTGGGCAGAGTGATGATCCCCAAGGCCATTTGCTTTTGCGTTCTGAGTGACAGGCACTTCCTTCTCAGTCCTAGTGCAAGAGAATTCGTTCACGCTTTTAGTATTTAAAGCAACCCCATGTTGAAAAGAAAAAAAAGCTGACCATAGGAAAGATTCTCACCAGTAATGTGATTGATGCTCTGTCACAGGCCCTCGTCAGCTGGAGGTGTACGGAAACCCTGACCCAGGGGCTTTGGCCTGGGAGACATTCTGCCGCCTCAGAGGAGAGCAGGGCTGTAGCCAGACGCCTCCTGGGCTGGCCCAGCGGCCCCAGTGGCCTCAGCATTCCTAGGCTGTTGTCTCAGGGCCACAACATGATGGTCAAAGCCGTGATACACTTGGCAACTATGTTCACGGCAGAAAAAGAGCCGGGCCTCCTGGCCATCTCTCTTTTTGTCATGGAGCAAAAGCTTCCAGAAGCCCCAGAACATGGGCACCATGACCTCTGAGCCACCTTGCCAGAACTGGGTCAGTGCCCACACTAAGCTGAGGGATGCAGGAGGGGACACCAGGCTGGTATAGCGGTTAGCAATGTGACTCTGGGCTAGCTACTTCACATCTCTGAGCCTCAGTTTGATTATCTATAAAATGGGGCTATTTCTCTTGATTTCAAATTGAATAGAATTTATATAAGTGCACAGCCCATGCCTGGCACACAGCGGTCCCCCCTCCCCCCCGCCCACGTACAGCGAGTTCTCTGACCCAGCAGGACTGGCCTCTTAGGTCCTCGGGGGACAGGCCCCGGATCTTATGGCTTGGTTCTCTTATAACTTGCATGTTGGGTTTGTGAGAATAACAAAAGAAAACCCATCAAAACATAGAGACACTGAACCTGAACGGTGTCTGTGCTTTGTCTTCCCCACCGTGGGGCAAGATGTTTGTTGTTGCTTTAACATAAAGGGGGCAAGTGGCTGTTTTTCGCCGCTCCAGTCTGCACAGGTGCGTAAGGGGATACGTATCGGCTTATTGGTCTTCACCGAGCTGCAGTTGTGTGGTTGCTGGGGACGTGACAAGTCTCGTAGGCTCAGGGCATAGGTAGACAGTCGTCAGTCCGTATGGCTGCCCGACTGTCCGCATCACTGCCTCGGTCTCCCATGCCGTTCATCAATGACGGCTATCTTGAAGAGTATCTTGGCCAATTCCAAAATTAAGGGTGAAAAATATAGAGCCCAACCCACTAGATGTAAGGCAGTTTTGGGTCTCCCCTCATCCCCCTGGACCCCTGGTCTTCCCCAGGCCAGCACAGGCCGTGTAGACTGGCACAGCTGGTTCGGGGCCTTGGCTGAGCGGCCTCAGGGGCCCGCCGGTTGGTGGGCCAAGCCCTTGCGTCTTGAGCCAGCCTCAGGCAGCCTCGGGGGGATGTCCTGACCCCACTGCCAGCCTTAGAGATGAGCCAGCGAGGGGATGGGTGGGGAGCCCCAACACGATCTGGTGAGCTACGCTCAACTCCAGGCTTCCCCATTTTGCAGCTCTATGATGCAGAGAACCGCTCCCACCACCACCCCCACCCCATTTCCTAGTCTGAGAAAGGAGATCATGTCTGCCCTGCCCGCACAGCCAAGTTTGCCTGAGGACTGAGTGAGACCTACAGAAAGGGTTTGGTGTCACAACTGCATGGCCAGCTTGGAAAATGAGCTGAGCATCGATGACCCTTAAATGTCCCTCGCTGTTCCAGACGCTGCCCGGATGCCTGCGCACCCCCGCTAAGAACGCCCCACTCCTCCTCCCCGCCCCGCAGACTTAGCACAAACTTGGCCTCAAGTTAACCGCTACGGAGGCTCCGGCTTCATTGTGCTGTGGGACCGTCCCCTTAGGCCTTCGGAGAGCGCGTCCTCTCCACTTTTTCTAGTAGCGTCTCCAACCGCCGTGGGAGAGGCCCCGCAAATCCCCCTCGCGGACTCCTGGGCCCCCTCCTCTGTTCCAGGGCTCCAAAGTCCTGGCCAAGAAGGAGCTGGCCTACGTCCCGATCATCGGCTGGATGTGGTACTTCACCGAGATGGTCTTCTGCACACGCAAGTGGGAGCAAGACCGCAAGACCGTCTCGCAGAGCCTGCTGCACCTCCGGGATTACCCCGAGAAGTACTTTGTACGTGAGACCCC